CCCTACCCTTGGGCAACAGTGGCTGGCCCCAGTTCACCTGTGGGACCAGTGCTGGCACAGCCCACACCTCTGGGCCATAGCAGCAGCCTGCTGGCACAAGCCATGCCTGCATCCCAGAAGTCTGCAGCCCGCCCACTCTCACTCAGGCACTGTGGAGCCTCTAGGTCTCCCCAAGTTGCCCAACGGCTCTGGGCCTGTCACCTTGAAGACAACGGCTAGCCTTTAATAGCCAGGTCTGGGGACCTGCAGCCCTACTGTGGAGAAGTTCAGGTTTAATGGAGGTGGCTTAGCCATGTCCCTCACAAGGTCAACAGCCCAGCACAGCAGCTGGGAGAGAGTTACATTGTCTGTACTGAAGCAGCAGGGGGTCAGCAGCACCAAACCCCGTTCAATGGTCTGTGGAAGAAAGATTTATAAAACAAACAAAAAAATGAAAGAACGAATAAGTCTTTATAGCTGAGGGGTAGGTCTTCCTAATCAGTCTTTGTTGCCAGGAAATCGGAAAGCACACAAGAGCAGCTCATTACACTCAGCCTGTTGTCCTAATGACATTGCTTAGACCTAGCGGGACTCGGCTCTGGGGAGGGAAGAGGAAAAAGACAGTGGGGCCTGCCGGGAGCAGGGAGGAGGCCGGCTATAAGCGGAAGGCTCTCCTCACCTCTCAGCTGCACTGGCCCCACCAGCTTGGTACACAGCAGCCTGGACCCTGGGCTCAGGCTGCATGGCTACAGCTAGTAGGAGAAGAGACTGTTCTACGAGTTCAGTCCTACCTAGGCAGGGGCTCCCTCTGCAAGGCGCCAGGATAGGGCTCAGGTGTGAAGGTGGCCTATAGGCAGCAGTGGAGGGAGAAGCATGCTGTTCTAATGCCAGCTGCATCCGCGGGCGAGCGAAGGGAAGGAAATTCATTTGTCAAGGGCCTCTTGGTACTAAGCAAGCCCTCTGCATGGCAGAGAACCAGATGACCCCATCTTCCAGGGGATGACCCCTACCTTCCTTCCATTCCAAGATGAGTGAGAGCTCACGAACGTCACCAGCTTTCAGGGACCAGTTACCTGCCCGTTGTAACTGCACTGCCTCCTGCCAGAAGGTCCCTGGGAAAAGTTCAGTCGAACAGAAAGAACGTGGTTCTTTTCCAAGGGGTCATTCAACCACACACTGAGCGTGAGGACACATAGTTGCAGCTAGCGGAGGTGAACAAAACCATCTGCTGAAGAGAGGGACCACAGAGTAGCAAGGCTCCCTTTTCCAACGCAATTAAAATCACCACAGTGGGTGCGGCCGAGGGAGAAAAGCAGCGCCCCCTGCCTCGGAGCTCTGCAGGTCTTGGCCCCAGCGTGACACAGACTGATAGAGCCGCCAGGATCCTGCCCCCAAAACAAAAGCAACAAAACCAAACCTAAGCAGCTCAAAAAGGTTGATTAAAAGGTTCCCACAAGTGTTCCATCAGTACTCATGAGCTGAGCTTATATTTTAACTTGTACCAGCTAACTATACGGTTCACGAACACTTGGTGCTCACACGGAGGGCAGATCCCAGGCAGCGAGGGGCCGTGTTGGTCATTCGTGCCCTCCCGCCTGTGCACAGTGCCTCCCGCATTGCACAGAAACACAGGCCAGACTCTTCCAGCTGGCGTTGTCAGGATGCAGGCAGTTTCCAATTTATCTCTTTGCTTTGGAACATCAATAAACTTGACAGCTAAATCTGGTTTCCATCTCCTCTGTAGCAACAAGTGTCTTCCAAAACAAAAAAAATTAGAACCAACACATATTTTTGCTATCTTTGGACATTTTCCTAGACCTCTGAAGGTTCCAAGCTTCTCAAAGCTGTAGACGGCAACATGTTTAGAGATCCACGGTCGATTAGCTTTTGTGTACACTGATGCCGAGCGTGTGAAGGATCAGCATTGCCACGGCGATGACTGAACAGGCAGAGCGAGCGCAGCGCCCACCTCGGAGCTCCTGGAGCCGCGTGTCCTCTCCTGGCCCAGGGAAGGGGGAGGCCATCACCTCAGCTGCGGGAGGAAAGACTGGCGAAGGGCCAGGGCCACTGTGGGTGGACGGGTGCACTGCCACCACAGGCTGTCACCTCCTGGCCACGGTGAAAGGCTCAGGTTGCTACCAGAGGAAAGGGATGGAACGAAGCCTGGCACTCTTTCATTTCAAACAGGGAATCCAAGAATTCTCATCTAGTCAAATGGAAAACTGGGGACTTCCCTGGCGGTCCAGTGGTTAAGACTTTGCTTTCCAATGCAGGGGGTGCGGGTTCGATCCCTGGTCCAGGAGCTAAGATCCCACATGCCTCAAGGCCAAAAAAACAAAACATAAAACAGAAGCAATATTGTAACAAATTCAATAAAGACTTAAAAAAAAGGAAAACTGGAGAGTACAGCGAAACAATGCATATGGAAAGGAAAAAAAACATATGCATATCCATGAGCAGTAGAGAGCCTGTCCAGCTCCAACTGCCTTACGTTGCTTTTTCCGACAGAACCAGCAGAGTTAAGGATAACGAACTTGGTACGCAGAGCTTTCACCTCGTGGAGCTTTGAACTCTGACGTTTCTGCAGATCAAGACCATCACCACCCAACAGGTAAGAAGATAAAAACCATTAACACAGCAGCCCTCAGGCATGTTCTAAAAAATGTAGACTCAACTGAGCTTGCCCTCCTCCTCTCTGGATCTGGGGAGACAGAAGACTCTTCCAGGGTCAAATCCTGCTGACTGCGCCACAGCCCATCCTGGGGGAGGGACAAGAGCCGAAACAGCAGGACCCACCCAAAGCAAAGCGGCTGTTCACAACCCCTCCTCACGCCAGCAGATGTCCCCGCCCTCCGCTCCCGGGGAAGGAAGCGCCGGGGCGGCCTCTGCGAACCCATCCAGCGAACAGTGCTGCTCCCTGGGCCTGACTCTGAACCCGTTCCCATGAGCCGCAATAGCCGCTTCCCAGGCCTGAGGACAGGATGGGGCCCTGCTTCCGGCATCCTGTCCCCCATAACACAGCCTGTTTAACGTCTGGGGATTCCAGGTGAAGAGATGTGGGAGCTAAGTGAGACCTCGGCCCTGCCAGGTCTTTCTTCTTAGGTAAATATGCGTTTTGATACTAATCACGTCTTGTCATGGCCTCACTGGCTGACGACAGTCACTGCTACTCAGAGCAGCCAGCAGGGACCCCAGGTGGAGGGGAACTTCTGCTGTGTTTCTTTTTCATGAGAAAGAGCAAGCTTAGAAAATCTTCAGTCAAAATGATCGACTCGGGATTCTGGCTCCCCCCGCCCCCGCATGCTGGCACTCTAAAGAGAGTAGGAAGGGCTGGAAGGACTTACTGTGAGCAAGACAAAGGGACATCTTCCCAGATGAGGACAGATGGAGCTTCTCCAGCCCCGGCCACACCCCTACAGCACCACAGACACTGGCACAAGCAGACTGGAGGACCGCCTGCACAGTGGGGCCTCAAACTGGCTTCCTGACGCTGGAGGACGCCCCAGCTGTGGCTGCAGCCCAGGTCAGCGTGAGAACGAGGTGAGGGAGATGAAGAACCTTGGACCACAGCCCCGGTGCTGCCAAGCACGCTGGAGAGCGGGACGAGGGTGAGGAAGAGAACGAAGGGCCCCGGCGCTCCGCCAGCCCATTAGGAACACTGACCGGGCCTTCAGGACCAAAATCCAGGACCTCAACCTAAGATCATCTGTGCTGTATCTTCAGAAGGAGGTACAGGGAGAGAGGAAGAGAAAGATACACCTAAATTGCATGGCACAGATGATGAAATGATAAAACCTTCAATTAAAATTAAAAAAGATCAGCTTCCTGAGACTCTCTGACCCAAAGCATATCCTGCGGGGGGAAGAGTTCTTATCTCTGAGCATCGCATCTCGAAAGCCCCCGCCAACGCTCAGGTCTAAGAGACACATCTGATCTGCCTTCCCACCACCCTCTCCTAACTTCTGGCGATTTCCTCTGCAGCTCACTGGGAAAACAGAGGCACCTCTGAGCCCACAGAGGGTTTCATGCATCTCATGTTTAAGTCACTTTTATTCCTTGTTTTCTGACATTACTTTTGTGACTCCTGAGTGACGAAGAAAAAATAAAGGGTAAGGAAGGGAAGTGATGAAAATATAATGGCATTTAGAAATTACAGGTTGGGAACTCTTTAGAAACAGTGCCTCTATCACTCTTATCAGGCATCAGACACACCCACGACGCCAGGAAGTCAGGATCCACATGACATGACAGGATCTCGCAACAAGGTTCCCGAGGAGAGAGCTGGGACCAGACGTGAATGAGGATGTGCAAAGAATGGGCACAGTATCCAGCATCTTTGCCTTTTAATATAAGATTTGTTTTCATTATTTCTGAGTGTAACATATTTCTTCTAAAAATAGAGCTCTTTGCTTGTTCTGAAACTTCTTAACTTTCACTTGGAGGTGAAGGGGAATAAGGCTGCCAATGTTTCCTAGTCACGGACAAACTCTTCAAGGGATTCTGGATGCTCACAGCAAGAATGAGTTCATTTCAAATCCATGGTACTGAAGAAACACGACAGAACATTCCCAGCCCCCATCTGTGCCTGGTGTGGACCCCCACGACCACATTACTGACCAAAGGTTCACATGAGACCAGATGGCAGGGGCCCCTCCTCCAGGGGATGGACACAGAACCCCACACATATTTATCAGAAGACAACAGGGTGCCCTTCTAGCACCCTGGTTAAGAATGGAAGTGTACAAACACACAAGACATAGGAATGCAGGGTTGAGGATGTTAAACTTCTGCCCTGGGCCAATGCAGACCTGGATTTAATATCATGGAAGCTGCTGGGGTTTTCTCACAATACAGATTAAGAGTCAGAATCTCCCCCTGCCCCCAAGGAAAAGCCTGGTTAGCTCCTGAATCCAAAGATGCCCTTGATATATCCAGTGAGGCCACTCTTGGTCTTCTGCTCCAACTTGTCCTCAAGAGGTGGGAAAGCCACATGGTTGAGGGCCAGGTCAAAGAACAAAGGCTTGCATGGGATGGGCTGGAATCCCGGCGGGAAGTGCACGAGGTTGGCTTGCTTGGTGACAAGGGAAGGGTCCAGGCAGAATGTCTCAAACCGTTCGACCAGGGGCTGGAAGTCAAACCAAAAGCAGGAAGCCAGATGTTAATCACAGCCCACTGGTGGAACATTCACTATGGGCCGAGCACCCAGTTCAGAGCTCATATGTGCTATCTCACTCGATCCCCACAAACCTCCTATGAGGGGCTATCATGTCCTCATTTTATAACTGAGAGTCACTGAAATCTAGAGAGGTTGAGAGAGGTGGGCTGGGACTGAGGTATAAGCCTGTCCGATGTCCAAGTCAGAGCTCCTAGCCAGGGCACACAGCAGGTTCCTAACTCTATTGGGGACCATCTAGATGACACCTAACAAATCTTACACAGGCAGCTTTCAGGTCCTGAGTAAAAGAAGGGAGGGAAGTAGGGTGCTCCCTCGTTCTACGCATGAGCACACACTGCTAGTAAGTTATGAATCCTTTTTATTCCTCAAAAGCCACAGCCCAGACTCACCTTATTGTCCTTGACTTGAAAAGAGGTCTCTGTTTGGTGGGAATCATTTGTATCTGAAAGTTTCACAGGATTCGGTAAGAACAGGGACTTATAACACACTATAGTCATGAATGACACCTATCACACGTCTGGGTTCTAAATTCTAAGAGGAAAAGTAGCCAATCTGTGGGGAGTTAGCCCTCTCCCTCCTGAGTCCAAACTCAGAGAGTAGTGCAGATGACAGACAACTAACCCCAGAACCAATGTGGTCGGCCCAGCGGAGCAAGCACCGTTGAATGCAAGAGACACTGACAGGCAGAATGGACAGCACAACAGCGTTTCTCTAAATTCTTCCACATAACCTGATGCCTCTAAATTCTTCCACATAACCTGATGCCTCAATGGGGCAGAAGGAATGGCAGGAAAAAACTACTTACAGATTAACCCAAACAGCCCCTTTCAATCTTAAAACAGTGGCAAAGGGGGTGGGAGAGAAGAGGAGCAGCAGTGAAGGGGAGTCTGAGAAGACAGGCCGCAGAGAACAGGCAGGCGGCTCACCCAGGATCGCGGCCGCCTGCAGAGAGCACTTTTCCGACCTCACTTGCGTGATGAGCTCTTGCACGTCAGGCAGGTCCTGTAACAATGTGGAAAACGGGGACTCGTGAGCTGGAGTCAGGCCAGAGAAGCGCACCACACTAACCTGAGCTAAGTGACCCCACTGGTATTTTCATGAATTTTAGACTTTTTTAAATGGTCTCCCTATTAAAAGAAACAACACACAAAAACTAGCCTGTTTCAAAGGGGGAAATCTATGCCATGGCTTAAGTAATGCTGCCTGGAAATAATAATGACAACAATGATAATGATAATGAATTTATCACATACTACATGCATTATGTGCCAGGCATTGCTCTAAGTACTTCACATAATTGTTCGTCTTCGCGATAATCCTGAGATAGTTTGTACTTGCATTTTACAGATGAGAAGACTAAAGCACAGAGGGGCCAAAGAACGTGTCCAGTCACATTCCCAGTGGCAGTAGGGCAGGGCTTCAGAACTAGGACGGCTGGCTCCAGGGCCTAAGCCCCTACCCACCGACCCCTTCTACAAGAGCAATGCCATTCTCTTGCCTCAGCCTCTTACTCGGCAAATTGGGAAGGATCTGCCTAGGTCTGGATACTGCTGAATCCCCTACGCCTCTGTTCCCTAACGCTTTCCCCTGAAACCAGCCGTCACATTAGGTCAGATGGGCTTTTGTAAAATGCCTCTTACTCCTCTCTGGAGATAAGCCATCTGCACTGGTTTGCCTCCACATTCCAACGACACCCTACCAGATGACACTGCTACACTCGCCAGCCCACCCTCTGCCCACAGCCGCCTCCCATGTACTCCTTCCTACTTCTCTGCCCTCGCCCTCTATCTTCCTCTGTATTCATAGGTGGGTCCTATGCAAGTCCCACGGCTGCAGCAAAACCACAAGCTCTCCTCTGCCCCCGAGCCCAGGGCTGCTCCAAGCAGGCACGAGTGCCCCACCGGCAGCCCCTCTCACACTGGCTGTGACAAGGTTAGGAAGAGTAACCCTAGCCCGCTTTTCTAAACAGTCTCTACTTATAAAATATACATGGGGGCTTCCCTGGTGGCGCAGTGCTTGAGAGTCCGCCTGCCGATGCAGGAGACGCGGGTTCGTGCCCCGTTTCGGGAAGATCCCACATGCCGTGGAGCGGCTGGGCCCGTGAGCCATGGCCATTGAGCCTGCGCGTCCGGAGCCTGTGCTCCGCAAATGGGAGAGGCCACAACAGTGAGAGGCCCGCATAACGCAAGGAAAAAAAAAAAAAAAAAAAAAAAAACATGGATTCCTTGGACCAGTGCTTTAAGAATCTATAAACTCACAGCAGTCCACAAGCTTAAAAAGCTAGCTGCCATTCAACAATCACTACATCAAACCAGATCAGCATGTAAGCTTTGATGTATACCCAAGTCACCTGGGGGTCTTGCCAAAATGCGCTTTTGACTCAGCAGGCCTGGGGTGGGGCCTGAGAACCTGCATTTCTAGCAAACTCCCAAATGCTGCTGCTGCTGGTCCAGGCACACATTGTGTGGAAAGGCCTCACCAGTGCTTTTCAACTTGGCTACACATTAGAGTAACTGAGGGGCTTAAAAGACCCCAATGCTCATACCAGATCCCACACCAATCAGAACCAATATCTCTGAGGGTGGAACCCAGACATCCACCTTTCAAAAATCTTCCCAGGCAATTCCAACACGTAGCCAAGTCTGAGAATGTACTTCAGGGTTGTTTTAACCAGAGGAAGGCTGTCCCTCTTAGTACCCCAGTCCTCTTCAGGCCTGGAATGCTGCCATGAGTCGCACTCCACAGCTCCTGGGCACTCAGGGATGTACCACATACCATGGCAGACCAGGCAGGACCAGTCTCGGAAGGCACTGCAGCCTCACAGCAAAAGTGCTCAGGGCTTGGAAAACAGGAGAGAACAACAGCTCACCCTTAGGCTGTTCTTGAAGGCTCCGGCATCAGAGCTCGCCTCATGTGCGTACTTCAGGACCCTGTCGCACAGGACAAGGGCTTCGCTCCACTTCTTCACCAGCACATAGGACTGAGCGATGAAGAAACACCTGATGGGGAAGGAAAGAGCCACAGTGTCCTGAAGCAAAAATCACCCAAGATCAAGGCTTTCCTTGCTGTTTAGGCTAAATAAATTGTAAAGCTTCTTAACCTCAGGCTCACTGCCTGGGATGGCAGATCCCACCGTTCTCACTGTTCCAGTTTGCCAGCCTAACCTGCAGACTTGTCCCCGAAATTGGAGCCGACAAGTGTAGGTCCAAAGCTGACCCACTGTCTTTTACTTACTGTTGACTCTGCAAAAAAGAGGTAATTCCCAAAAGGCACAGGCAGGAAGCTGGAGACAGGCAGGAGGGAGGGAGGCTGCCCAGATATAAATCCCACCCACAACTGCCCACACATCTATGTCGCAACCGTTCACCTCTGCTCATGTCTTTCAAAAACCAAATCCAAAGAAACAAACCTCTTCCTAACAGAAATTACTCTGCTGGGATCAACAGAGCCTGAGCGCTGCTGGCCTTTGACAGGAGCCAGAGAGTGCAGGGGCACGCGGGCCAGAACAGGAAGGGCAAAAGCGCTCAGGGCTCTACTGAGCCATTCTGTCTAGACCCCACGTTGCTACACAGTCCACTCCCAAGTTACAAATAGCACACGGGTGCACGTAAGAAACTGAGACACTGAGCTTTCTCCCAACTCAGTTCAGTTTCCCTGAATCAGCCGCTCTGGTTCTGCTACTGAACGCTTTTTCCAGCACTTATCCTTCTTCCCCTGGGAGGGGGGAGGAAAGGGAAGGGAGAAGACAGGTAATGCATGTGCTTTCGAGCTCCCCCAACCTTCCCAAAGAGCAAAACTGCACTGGAAACTCCCAGCCACAGCCCGAAACTTCCCTTGAACACGCTGGGCTGACTGCTCTCTGATCACATACCCAACCTTCCAGGGATGTACTCCCAAGGCTTCTAGAACCACTGGATGGTAGAGAGCCCTGCCTGTCCCACAGGAACTTACCTGTAAGCCTTGTAGACCAGAGTTTTAAGGCCTATCTCTTTCTGGAAGGCTCTGTCCTCCTCTAAGCCAGGAAGCTGGAGCAATTCCACCAGATTCTGCACAACAGATGCAACAAGAAAACTCATGAGGAGACCTCGCACTGATAGTCTGACAGAAGACTTGTGAGAACAGACATGGGCAAAACGAAAGAGTCTAGGCTTCAAATAACGGGAAAAAGTCTGTGACGCGTGACTCAGCAGCAGCCACATCTGGTGTCACCTCCACCCTCCTCTCTGACACTGAAAGCCCACGTGTCCTTTCTCTCTCAGTCACACTCCACCTCCTTCAGAGACTTCTTGGACCCTCTCAGCTAGAGGGGATTTCTCCGGCTCTGAACTCTCATTTCAGACAGCCCACTGCTGTGGCATCTACACGAATAAGTGCAGATGTGCAGGGGTCTCACAACCTTACTCACTGGTGAGCTCCCAGTGGGGCGAGGCAGAGTGGCCTCAGGTCCCAGGACACTCCACAGCATGCGGGAGACCACCCTGCACAGGGGAACTGCTCAGTGAATACCTGTGGTTTACAAGTGTTTACACACCAACACGTCTGAATATTGGGCTCACGGATGGCTGAAATGGCATGAAAACAAGACCTCTGTCTTTTCTTTTTTTTTTTGCAGTACGCGGGCCTCTCACTGTTGTGGCCTCTCCCGTTGAGGAGCACAGGCTCCAGACACGCAGGCTCAGCAGCTATGGCTCACGGGCCCAGCTGCTCCACAGCATGTGGGATGTTCCCGGACCAGGGCACGAACCTGTGTCCCCTGCATCGGCAGGCAGACTCTCAACCACTGCGCCACCAGGGAAGCCCAAGACCTCTGTCTTTTATAGAGACACTAACAGCTCCTGGCTGTCACAGCCCTTCTGCTATGCAAAGCTCAGTCATTTGTGTCCAACACAAACACAGGACAGGCTCTTGCATTCCCTGCCCTCCAGGGTCACCTGAAGAATGATGTCATAGAGCCGGATCAGGTCCTGGGGCCGGGGGGAGCGCTTGCTGTCATCCTCTGGCTGCTGCTGCAGCACTGCCTTCTGCAGGCCTTTAGCCATGTTCTCGTTCCGCTTGATTGCTGTTGACAGCTTGATGTAAGTCAGGTAGCTGGAATGGACCACATGTCAGCTCAGGTTATGATGAGGGAAGCTGATGTTCTGAGAAGAGCATTGGACCACAAGCTGGGACTGCCCTAGGGGATTATGGGGGTGAGGGCGTGTCATATCGCAGGGCTGTCAGGCCTGGGCCTCAAACTCCAAGGGCCTTCAATTCTGGCTGCTGTTCAGTGGCTAACTGCCGGGGACCAGTATGAAACCTTATGACAAAATCTGATTTTAGCTTGAATTATATCCTCTGTATCTTTATTTTTTTTTATTCTTGTGGTACGTGGGCCTCTCACTGTTGCGGCCTCTCCCGTTGCGGAGCACAGGCTCTGGACGTGCAGGCTCAGCGGCCATGGCTCACAGGCCCAGCCGCTTCGTGGCATGTGGGAACTTCCCGGACCGGGGCACGAACCCGCATCCCCTGCATCAGCAGGTGGACTCTCAACCACTGCGCCACCAGGGAAGCCCCTCTCTGTATCTTTATTAAAGAGCCAGAGAGCTACTAATTTCAGAGGACACTGCTGGTCCTTAAGATGACTAATGGATGGCAAGCTAGTTCCTGGAACAAGGACCGGTTACCCGCCTGGCCCACACTACAAGGACAGTGCACACGCACAGCAGCTGCTCCTGCTCCGCTGATGAGCTTCTCTTCTCAGAAAATACCGAGGGACAGTCTCTTTGGAGGGTTATGCATATTAAATGTGTGTATATACCGGAGACTATGTGTGATGCCTGCTTATTTTAACTGTACCATCTGGAAAGTCCTTTAATATTCGTCGATTAAAAACATGGTAACCATTTAAGTTTGTTTAAGAAGTGTTTAGGCCTCTAGGTCCCCATCTTACTGTGGCAGAGGCTGGAGGCATCCTGGGAGAGGGAGGATATAAAAGAGGCCTGGGGACAGGGGATACAGGCACAGCTGAGGTCAGGGGCTCCACAATGAACCAGGGGGGTTAAGAGACTGTCAAGTTCTGAGGGCTGACCTCCTAGCATTCTTCTCCTACTCGGCTTCCAGAATAAGAACAGCCTGATATATTCTGAGGATCTGACCAGCCCAAGGAAAAAAACCCTTCAAGATTCTGGAGTCAGGGTCCTCAGTGAAAGCGCAGACCCAGAGCACCTACAGTGAAGCCACAGCTGAGGAGCTCCACGCAAAAGCTCCCAACAGACAAGACACAGTCTTTAATAGGAGTGGATGAACAAGGATCACCAGACACTTAAGGAAAACCTCTAATAAGACAGGAGGGGGCCAAGACTGAGAGGGGAAAAAAAAGCAACTTGGAAGAACCAAACTTTGTAGGGAGAAGAAAACTTTAGACAACTATTATTAATAATTTCAGAAAGATAAGTGAAGACTTTGTGGTTGTGAAGTTAGAATGGGACACTGTTTTAAAATAATATTCAAAGAACACAAATGAGCTCTTAGAAATTAAAATCGGGACTTCCCTGATGGTCCAGTGGTTAGGACTCTGCACTTCCACTGCAGGGGGCACGGATTTGATCCCTGGTCAGGGAACTAGAATCCCACATGCTGTGCGGTGTGGCAAAATAAATAATTAATTAATTAACTTAATGGCACTGGAAATGAGGAAGCCTGTGTAGGAGTCAGATGGGAAGTCAAGAGGGGTCAGGGTGAAGAGTGGGAGTAGAATCGGTGAGAGAAGGCTGTAGGGGAAAGTGGTAAGAAATGCTGAAAGCCAAAAATCAACAAGTAGCAACATAACGCATGTCATTTAGAGACACGGAGGTAAATACCAAAAGAATTTGTTAAAAGAATTAAAAGTAGGGACTTCCCTGGTGGCGCAGTGGGTAAGACTCCACGCTCCCCATGCAGGGGGGCTGGGTTCAATCCCTGGTCAGGGAACTAGATCCCACACGCTTGCTGAAACTAAGAGTTCACACGCCACAACTAAGGAGCCCGCCTGCCGAAATTAGAACCCAGCACAAGCAAATAAATAATATTAAAAAAAAAAAAAAGAATTAAAAGTGTCTGCTGCTGCCTTTTTTTTTTTTTTTTTTTTTTGCCACACTGCACAGATTGTGGGATCTTAGTTCCCCAACCAAGGATCAAATCTGTGCCCCTTGCAGTGGAAGCTCGGAGTCTTAACCACTGGACCATCACGGAATTCCCAAAAGTGGAGGCTTCTGAGAAATGGGAGGAAAGGTCATGAGATGGTTTTTTCTAAAGCTCTGTAGAAAAATCAAACTCTCAAAATAAAGTAACTATTATTCAGAGTAGTATAGGAGTCCAGATACATCTTTATTAAAATACAAGAGTTTTATTAAAATACAAGAGCTACCCGATTCTCGACTTCAATTTACCCCAAAGCTGGCTTCCGATCCTAACTGATTATGATCCTGATACTAGCCACATGTGGAGGTGGGAGAACGGATCCAAGGGCAAGGGGCTTCACAATTTGAAAGTTTCCTGAGCCCTGCTGAAGCCCTCTGGGTTTTTCAAGGTTAGGAAGTTGATCAACTGCCTCTGCCTTGTTATGGTTGTTAACTACCAACATGTCCCCTAACCTCCTGGAGCCTTATCTTTCTCCTTAGGTTGCTGAAGCAGAAGACGGCTAAGGGCCGCTCCTGCTGATATTCTGTGCACCGGAGTCATCTAGCAGTCAATTTGACATTCACATAACACCAAATCCCCTGAGAATGGAGATTAAGGCAGGGAGAGGAGTTTTTATGGTTTTGCTTTTTTTATAAAAGAGGGAGGGGGGGCACGGGAATGACTGAAAATACAGCCAGGTTCACTAAAAGTTATAAGCAGTGACTAAGAAATTAAAATTTCAAGGTCACATGGAAAGAGAATCTGAGGAGAAGTGGAATTTTATTTCTCCCCAGGAAGTTCGAAAAATGTCATTCTTCCTCCTTTCTTCTGTGAAACAAAATGATCTACCTCTTAAAAAATTTAAACTTGACAAGGTGATTTAAAAATGCACATGAAAGAGCAAAGGGAGAAAAACAGTCAAGATGTGCCTGAGGAGAAACCTAGCGGGGAAAACTTGCTCGACCAGATACCAAGACTTATGATAAAGTTATAGTAAATCACTGTGCTGGTGTTAGTACAGACAAATAAATCAGCAGAGCAGAAGACAGTACAGAAAAAAAGAGCACGCAAGGAGAAAATGGAATGTATTCCTGCAGATCAGTGGGGAAAGGACAGAACAGTCAATAAATCATACACTGGAATAATCCATTATCCTCATGGAAAAAGGTGAAACAGATCCTTACCTCACTCAAAAATAAACTCCAGATGGAATTAAACTTGAGTTGAACTTGAACTCAAATATAAAAGGGACAATGTAAAACATTCAGAACACAGAGGAGAGTCACTCTAGGAGCTTGGCACGGGAAGGACAGTGGTTAGCTCCAGAAGAGGGGGAGGAATCAGCAAGGGTGGGGGCACAAGGAGCTTCAAAGTTATTGGCTGTATTCTAGTTCTTACACTGTATAAAAATTTTAAATGATATGTATATTACAATAATATACAAATTCAAAACTCATATGATAAAATGTGAATAGATGCATTCAGATTTTAGTATGTATCCATAAATTATAATGTACATAAACATTATATATACTCTTGTTCCAAAGATACACCATACAATGTTAAAAAGTAAAAACATCACAACCCTTACCTGTGCAGGTACTGAAGATTAGATACCTTCCCCGATTCCCCTTCAAGGGTATAATCTCTCTGTTTCTGCAGAAAGTGAAAAGGTAAAGATAAAATGGCTGATCCTATCCTTGGCTCTGACCACCTTGATTTTTTTTTTTCTTAACATCTTTATTGGAGTTTAACTGTTTTACAATGGTGTGTTAGTTTCTGCTGTATTACAAAGTGAATCAGCTGTACATACACATATATCCCCATATCCCCTCCCTCTTGCATCTCCCTCCCTCCCACCCTCCCTATCCCAACCCTCTAGGTTGACCACCTCATTTAATGGTGTGGTTCCCCCAAGTGCCCTGGAATACAGGCACAGACTCTAGTAAGTTAAGGGTCCTCAAATATCAGAGATCTACTGCATATATTTTAGAATGACAGGGTCACTCAGTTGCCACTGGCATCTAAAAACCAGACTTGAATAAGAGGATTCAGAGTAATGGCCAGTAAGGCTTCCTGCCCACTGCGTCCAGTGTTCAGACCCAAAGCATTAAGGCAGACAGTCCATGGTCCTCGGTTCCATTTTAAGACTTGTGTCTTAGACCCAAGTGCTATGCATTGTGCTGTTAGCTCTTGCTTTTGTGGCTGGCTGAATAATGGCCTCTAAAGATGTTTACATCCTAACAGGAACCTGTGAAGATGTTACCTTACATGGCAAGAGACCTTACAGATGTGATGAAGTTAAGGATCCCTTAATTAGCCTGGATTATCCAGGGTGGGCAACACAAACATAGACTCCTTATAAGAGGGAGGCAGTAGGGTCAACAATATAGAGAAGACACTGGGACTGAAGCAGAGGTCAGACAGGAGAGAAGATGCTATGCTGCTGGCTCTGAAGATGGAGGAAGGGACAACAGGCAAGAAATGCAGGAAAACGCACTCTCTGGAATACCGGAAATGGATTCTCTCCTAGAACTTCCAAAAGGAATGCAGTCTTACAAACTCATTTTAGACTTCCATCCTCCAGGACTGTAAGATAATATACTTGTGTTGTTTTTAGCCACTAAGTTTGTGGTAATGTTACAGCAGCAACAGGAACACCTTGCTATCACCATATTCATTACATTCTGTGAGGTGTCTGCTGAATTCAGCTGCTGTGAATTCAAAGTGAATGATAGAGGCTGGGGCTCTGTATGTACCTGCTAAATGAATCAAGGGAAGTATAATATATAAAGGCTGCTTTACTGGAGGAGGAAACACGCGACTACAGCCCAACATACATTTATTGAATATTTCATACAGAAGGTACTACGGCAGATGATTAAAGAAATATATAGTTACTTTTAATATGCTTATAATCTTAAGAAAAATATAACAAGAAGGTAAATATAAAACAATACATAAAATGTTAAAAGCCTGTGCTTGACTGGGACTTCCCTGGTGGCACAGTGGTTAAGAATCCGCCTGCCAATGCAGGGGACATGGGTTTGAGTCCTGGTCTGGGAAGATTGCACATGCCGTGGAGCAACTAAGCCCGTGCACCACAACTTCTGAGCCCGTGCTCTAGAGCCCACAAGCCACAACTTCTGAGCCCATGTGCCACAACTACTGAAGCCCACATGCCTAGAGCCCGTGCTCCACAACAAGAGAAGCCACTGCAATGAGAAGCTCGCGCACCGCAACAGAGAGTAGCCCCCGATCGCCGCAACTAGAGAAAGCCCGTGTGCAGCAACGAAGACTCAATGCGGCCAAAATTAAATTAATTAATTAACTAATTTAAAAAAGGCAATGCTTGATTAACTATCAAACAAAAATTACAGCTGCAAGTATCAGATATTTGGAAAATGGAGAAATGTGGGCGAGGATGGTGTAGGGAGGCTTCTCAGAGACAGTGAGCTATGAGCCACACCTTGAAAGACAGCCAGCGTTTGGACAGGTGAAAAGGGAGTGGAAGAAGCCAGGTGTGAGGAGGGGGGAAAGGACAACAGTGTAAGGAATGCACTGCAGTGGGACAGGCATAAGACGACAGTGAGTACAAGAGCCTGAGGCAGAAGCCTCAGAGGGAAGTAGCCAAGTACAACACTGCAAACAGGCTAGAAACACCCAGCGGAGGCTCATGTACCAGCTCAAGGAGTTTGAACTGTATTTGCTAGACACTGTGGTATCTAAAGTAGGGTGCACACAACCCTCAGGGTACGGGTATAAGAAGAAAACTAGAACTTCTATTTATATCTATCTCAATTCTAAAAACTTTATTTTAATACATTTTCTATATTACAAATCAGTTGAATAATAAGGTATATAATTTATAAATAAATGTTATCAGAGATAAATGTTCAATTTTACTTATGGGGTGCATGATCATAGAAGTTTAGCGACCACTGCTCTAGACCTCAGAGAATCACTGGGCTTTTTTCACAAGTAGGCAGTGAAATAGGATCTGGAGAGATTCAGTCTGTTCTTCTGGCAAAAAGGTCTGGAAAACCAAACTGAAACCAAGATAGGAAAAGCAATCAGGAGACTTTTGTGGTAGTCCAGGCATAATATAAAGGGCTTATTAGAAACAGGTGGAATGGACAAGCAGTGAGAGAAATTACAAAGGGAGAATAAACAGGGTTTTTGGTGACAGGGAATAAAGAGACAGAAATGGTTCTGAGGTTTTCAGCCTAGATGGCTGAATGAATCACAGTGATATTATTAGAGAAAGGGAGCACTGGAGAAATCCACCTGGAGATATGAGTTTGAGATCAAAGTTTTAACAGGTAATACGTGAAACCATTAGGAGAAACAGGATAGACAAAAGAATTTCTCAACCTGATGGAGCCCAGAAGAGGCTTCTGTTGTTCATTAGCCAATCACCACACCTAAATACAACGGTGGCTAAGAGTCAATGCACTGAGAATGCGACACACAGACTGAAGAGAGCCTCAGCCCAGAACAAGAGCCCGTGGCTCAGCTGAGAGTCCTACCTGATCTGGCTTGAGCTCTTCCCGAACGGCCTGGATGGCGTCCCGACACTCACTGAGCATGGATTCAAACAGACGCTCCTTGGTTTCTTCACTTTCAGCCTAAACAAAGGCAGAAGGCAGTAAAAAGATTTTCTTTTGAGTGAGACACAGCACTCTGATGGGAGGAGGGCATAACATCGCTTTGATTCCTCCCATCAGACACAAATACACACATCAACCGAAAAATGGCCCGAATCGGAGATCATTTCAACTGTTACTATTCTCTATCGTATATGATTTTTCTTATGGTTTTAGTCTTTATTTGTATGCAAATGAGAAATACATATACATATATATACACATATATATGTATATGTATAAAGGGAACATACTGAAAAAGTATCTGTCTGACTGATCTAAACTGTCAGGCAACAGGTGCGTTAATGTTTCCTCTATCACAGAACTTTCTACTGTTCTCCTCCAACTCTTCTACCTCTGCCCCCGACCTGCGCCTGGCTTCCCTAGAGGGCCTTATGGACTAGATTTCGGGCACTGCTACCTCATACTGAGGCTCAGCAGAGCAGAAGCTTCTTTTCCTTACAAATGTAACCCAACGGACTTGCACACACTGAATTTCTTTTAAGTCCAAACAGGTGAGTAACATTACTAATCAATACCCAATCAAAAACATATTTCTCCTAAATGCCATATGAGGTTCTCCTCACCACAGAAATTCTGCCCTCAGATATTCCATACGGCTATGCCGAGAACATTTTTAGGGCAGATGAGGTTGACAAAGCATAGGGCGTCAACACTCTGCCAACCGGCTGGGATAAGGCAAAAAGTGATTCATTAACTGAATACCTGCCAAACCACATTATCATTCTAAAGAATCTGACTAAGCAGGTGGGAATGAACAAAAAGCAAAAAGGAGATGAACTTGTGTTACTTGCAGACCCACTCTGACATTAGAACATCAACATTCTCATGATTATGTTTGACTTTCCACAGAAACTATCATCCAATCTGATCTCCTGACACTCAACTGACCTCCAAGAAAGCCCCAAAGAAAACCCGGTACCACCCACTCCTTTAAGAGATGGCTGGGAGGGGCTTAAAGAAAAACCTTTTCTTCTCTTAAGAACGCTTATGTTTTTCCTAGTTTCCAGGGTGGGAAAAAACTTCCTTGTAAATTACCCAATAGAAATTGAACATACTTTTCTACTTATAAGTTACTTGACTTTCCTGTTGTTCAGTAACTTAGGAACAAATCAGGGGCACAGCTATTCTATAAACTTATAAAGGCAAACACAGCCACCATAACTCACTGAAGCCTAGAGTAGTGCTGTCCACTAGAACTTTCTGTGATAATGATGTATCTGCACTGTCCATTGTAGTCGTCGTTAGCTACACGTGGCTGCTGAGCAATCTGAAATTTTAATTAATTTAAATAGCTGTATGTGTTCAAGTGGCTACTGTACTGGACAGTACAGCCCAGCTCTGGAGAAACACACTTACACGAAACACTGTTAATTAAGCATCTCAAGTTAGCAAGATTCTTTATAATCATTTAATCAAACTGGCCAAATTTTTCAAAGTACAGATCCTGTGTAACGGAGCAGCCGTAGAATAAGATATGCGAACAGACCTGGCACTAACCACACACATACCAGAGCCACGTTGTGAGCAGGCAGGATAAACTCCAGCATCAGTTTGATACCATGTAATCCAGCAAACAGGCCACCGACACCCTTTTAAGATGGGTGGGGTTCAGCTGTCAGGTCAATGGGTGTATAAGTAAGAAAAGAGTAAATTTGGTTTTACCAGCTACACAGGATCTGTCTCCTTTCCTACAGGGAGGGAATGGCTCAAACAAAAAAATTAAAATGATGTCTAAAATGCTAAACCTCTTTAATGCCATGTATTACCTTAGTTCCCTTTGAGTAAGGAAACCTCTGTATCAAGGTACTGAACATAAGCAAATTTTCCCTCTGCTTCCAGAAAATTCTAAGTTCCATTGGGAATCTCACAAAAGTCTTAAACCGCAATGAAGGAAAAAGCCTATCTGAAGGGGAGGACTTCTGTCAATTGTGTTTTCCTAATGGCAGCTGCCTTGCACAGTGACGTGGAGACCACTAATCTCTGGAGCAGAACTTCTCACGATTCTCTCGGGCTGGACAAAATATCTCCAAACAGGAAGCCTGAAACGTATTTTGCTACTTACCCGCTTATTCCATAAACCTATCTTGGAGGCTAAGATAATCCTGAAGGGGCAGTGGAACAAGAAACACCTCTCTATACCTATGCAGAGGGAGGGTCCCTCAGAATCCAAATGCATATGTCTCAAGTTTGCCACTGAACCAACAAGAACGTGTTCCTAAGCACAGGGGCAAACCCCCTGCATGAGAATCTGTGGTCTGCCTGGACCTTTCCCAGGTGTGCCCATGCCAGAGAGAAACCTGAAGCCCAGAAGTAACGCGTTACTCAGTCCTAACAAACAAACTCGAGATCAATTTTTATAAAACTCCAAACACTCTCGGATGTGCTTTTCCACAGCCTCAAACCACGTCTCAACGCTGACTAAAACCAGCTGCTTGTGTCCTGAGGTAGAGACCCCCAGCTCTTTAAAACAGAGCTCCCAGATGGTTTTCGCTTGTCTACAAAAATTGCTGGAAGGTGGTGGTGTGACTAAGAGACAACAAGGCGAGTCTGACCACATTCTCCACCACACTCGCAGGAGAACCAAGGGGATGGGAACCAAGCCTCGCTCGGCCCAGCGAGGTCTAGTGAAAAACACATGGGACTTGAGTAACAGAGGATACAAACCTCACTTAAAAATAGATTTTTTTTTTTTTTTTTTAGAGAAAAGGGGAAATGATCTCCCTTCCAGTCAAACATTAAAACATTAGCCATAACCTGAGGATAAGAATCATGAAACCTGCAGAGACTTTACAGCTGCCCACCCCCCACCCCACCCAAGAGCTGCCTTACACCCTCAAATCACCACCAGTGACAATTCAGGTAGGACCAAGGACTAACAAAGCAAAACAGAAATAAATTATAAAGTAAGACAATATTAAAGACATGAGAACCTAAAGCTTGGCTAAAGAAAGGAAGGATTTTGCAGCTGGAGTTTGGCAGCTGATTAAGCCTCAGCTCCAGTCTTTGCAGTTTAATATTATCTCCCTGAATTATTTTTTCCTTGCACGCTTTTCAGTAAACTGCAGTTTTAGTATTTAAACATCATAAAAACCTCTACAAGCAAGCAAGAAGCTGGGGCTACCAAATTCCTGAATTCCAGTTCCCAGAGGGTGGTAAACACCAACATCAGCCGGGTTAGAAAACACTGCAGTGAAAAGCCCTGTCTCTCTCAGGCAGGGTGCTTGGTTTCCAGGGCAGAGAACAACTCGATACAATAAGGAGAACAGGCAAATCATCAGACAGTGGCACCAAGGAGCAAGTAGTTCTTCTGGAGATTAGCCTCAAATGGCCAAAGGGCATTTCCCACATTTAATAACCCATGGTTCATTCAGTTCAACACACATTTAATCAGCCACGGTGCTAGACCTGACATCTCAGGATTTAACTAAACTTTGACACTGCACTTAAATTACTTTATTTACTGGCTTGACCTGGTGGTGTATGTGGGATACAGCACATTAGGCATGTAACTGTTTGTAATGTTTGTTGTTGTTTTTTAAAATTTTTATTGGAGTACAGTTGCTTTACAATATTGTGTTAGTTTCTACTGCACAGCAAAGTGAATCAGCTATACGTATACACATATCCCCTCGTTTTTGGATTTCCTTCTCATTTAGGTCACCACAGAGCACTGACTAGAGTTCCCTGTGCTATACAGTAGGTTCTCACTAGTTACCTGTTTTATACGTAGTATCAAGAGTGTATATACGTCAATCCCAATCTCCCAATCCATCCCCCCGCACCCCGATTTTAATGTTAAAACCTTAATGGGATTCCTGGGATTAATACACATTTTGTTTGACCTACCAAATTATTTAAAGGTCTCTGATACTCAAGTGATCCTAATGTACTGTAAGATGCTTAAAAACCACAGATAACTGTATTCACCACAACAAGCACATTAACCAGACACTTAAAAGATTCTACAAACATTAAAATGATAACGGAATATTGTAAACTCTATGTCAAAATCAACAATTTACATGAAATTAATAAATTCCTTTAAAAAAATAAAATCCAAACTGACACAAGATGAAACAGGAAATCCGAATAGCCCTACAACTCGTAAAGGAATAATATTTGTTTAAAACAAGCAAAAACAAATTTTAGAAACCTTCCCACAAAGAAAACTCCAGGACCAATGGTATCACTGGTGAATTAAACATTTAAGGAAAAAAAGATACCAGTGTTACATACTCTTTCATAAAAAGAGAAGGGAACATCTCCAAATTTGTTTTATTAGGTATGTATAACCCTGACACCAACCCTAAAAAAGACATTACATACAAGTCAAGAAAATCATAGGCCACTCTTTCTCATGAAAACAGATGCAAAATTCTTAAAGTATTAACAAACCAAATCCAGCAATGTATAGATAAAATGTACAATATATTATAACCAAGTGGGTTATCCCAGATATTCAAGGTTGGCTTAAACACTGAAAATTAATCCATGTAATTCACTATGTTAACAGGCTTCAAATATTCTTCCCGCTTCAGCCTTTAAAGATTTGAAACTATCCCTATATGGTTCTTTCCAACCCTTTGATTTCATACACTACTCAAACACACCACTGTATCTTGCAGGATAACAATTAAAAACTCATACAGGACTTCGCTGGTGGTGCAGTGGTCAAGAAACCGCCTGCTAATGCAGGGGACACGGGTTCAATCCCTGGTCCAGGAAGATCCCACATGCCACGGAGCAGCTAAGCCCATGTACCACAACTACTGAGCCTGCACTCTAGAGCCTGCATGACACTACTGAAGCCGGCACACTCTAGGGCCCGGGCTCTGCAACAAGAGAAGCCACCGCAATGAGAAGCCGGCGCACTGCAACAAAGAGTAGACCCTGCTCGCTGCAACTAGAGAAAGTCATGGGCAGTCCCCTCATCACAGGTTGTTTTCTTAAGTCAGGTTGATTTCTCAAAAACATCATCTATATTTTGGGACTCCCCTGGTGGTCCAGTGGGTAAGACTCCACGCTCCCAATGCAGGGGGCCCGGGTTCGATCCCTGGTTGGGTAACTAGATCTCACATGCCACAACTAAGAAGTCCACATGATGCAACTAAAGATCCTGCATGCCACAACTAAGACACGGCACAGCCAAAATAAAGAAAAATTTAAAAAATTTATATTTTATAAATATTAAGCATGAACAACTTTTTAAAGTTACTTAATAAATGTTATCTTTTCTTGTCCTTTGTCTGATGTATGTCTGTGGCCCCATTCCTAAGGAGTCCCTATTTTATTTGCCCCTACTGACCTCCCCTGCCCCCTATTCTATCCAGAATTTCTGCCTCACTGTCACCGCGCCTGATGCCTGGCACAGAACTGTAGCAGTTCTTTTCTTCCAGTATGTACCGCTTTAAAACAAGAGTTAACGCAGTTGCATAATCTAAATGGTTGCTATCAGCCCTAGTCCAGAAGAGAGACCTCTATACCCTAAATGCCAATGAAATGTTTTCAGAAAAAGTTTAGTCTTTTAGATTAATGAAAACTCAACTTTCTGGTGTTGTTCTACTCTTCTGTCTTTCAAGGAAATAAAGGGTAAATAAGGGGCAATATGTAATACAGACAAAAGGCATAAAGAAATCCTTCAATTGTTGAAAGCTGTCCCCAACCCAAAGGAGCCATTTTGGAACAAGTCACTGAAAGGTTTGGATGCTTAAGACAACTCTTCAGCACAACTAAGAAAGCACCTCATACAAATATCACTCCAGGTGCAGTAGCTTGCTGTGAAGTCTCACGAAATGCCACTGGTCCCTGCTGAGGCTGGAGACACAGGGAGCAGCCTGGTTTTTTCTCAGACGTTCTTCACCTAATATGGAGAAGGAGCTCTAAAAAAATGCCTCAATCACTGCCTACTTCATACAAACCAAGATCACCAGGATCTCTCATCTTTTGGAACTCCCTTGGTTGTGCATACCCACAAACAGGTAAGAATCATCTCAGCAGGAGCATCAGGTAGTATGGCTTTGCATGAATACTGCATATATACCACACATAAAACAAGATGTTCTGGTTTAGCTGTCTTTAAAGGGCCCAGGAACAAGAGGTGGCCCTTTAGGGCTAGAAGGCTAGGATAAGAGGTCAGACAGACACAAGGGACATAACAGTCATGCTGCCGCACCACCTGCTGAGCCAAATGTAACCCCTGACTTTAAGCAGACCCTTGTTGCTCCCATTTTTACTGAAGGCTGTCCTGTCATTTTCTTTGCCCTCCAAACATAAGAACTCCTTGATAAACTCAGCTTTCAAAATGATTTTATTCAAGAGGGTACATCTTGAGACTGTTACCAAATCCCAAGCAGCAACAAAACACTACATGTTAAACACACAAGGACAACCTCCAGACACACACAGAAGAGAACAGAATAGGTCCTTGCTCCTTACCTGGGCGATGGCTGACTCATTGTCGGCCAATCCCAGTAAAAAGATCCTCACTTTGTCAATCTTCACCGGGACCGTTCTGCCTCTCCATTCCACTTCACTCATGGTGGCTGCCTGCTTGGCTCGAGTCTGAGTGATCAAGGCCTGGAAGGTAGTTTTAAAAAGTTAAAGCTTTAACTGTGGATATGAGTGATCAAGGTGAAAATCAGCGGAAACTATCATTTGTCTCTTTCTAAAACTAACATATTACAGCTTATAGAGTATATACAAATTTGTATTTAAATTTCTCCCTGGCATACTTCTTAGCTTACAGAAACTCCAATATTAAAAGGACACGACAGGGCTTCCCTGGTGGCGCAGCGGTTTAGAGTCCGCCTGCCGATGCAGGGGACACGGGTTCGTGCCCCGGTCCAGGAAGATCCCACATGCCGCGGAGCGGCTGGGCCCATGAGCCATGGCCGCTGAGCCTGTGCTCCGCAACGGGAGAGGCCACAACAGTGAGAGGCCCGCGTACTGCCAAA